GAATACAGTGGCAGGAATGGAGGTGAAATGATTTGTGAAGACACATGCAATCGGGTCAGGATTAGAAGGAGGTGACAATTCAGGATTGAGGTTCTGTGCACTGATGTTTGCATTGCTTTCACAACAGCATTGTCCTGCAGCAGGCTCCCATGGCATTTTGTGATGTATTTTTTAGGGGACATTTTGCATCCTACTCTGGAAAATTCAGAGTATCAGTTGACTATTAGTACTTACGTTTTTGCTTTGAGCCTATATTATACAGATAATACAACCTCATGAGTTTCTGATAACATCAGTCAGCTTTGATGTCACTTCACAGGAAAAAAAATATTGCAAGGTTTATTGTGTTGGATCCAGTCCTATGCTGTATTTTCCTTGAACCACTGCAATGTGAGGAAAACTGGAAGCCACAGGTGACATTAAGCTGGCAAAAATAGAACGGCCATCTCAAAGTTAAAATTATCCTTTTCCTATGTCCTAGCTGTTTTAATTGTGTAGGGAGAACACAAATTCTATGAGTCAGTCTTACTTCATTTTCTTGAGCAGAGTGAAAGCAAAGATAAAAATTAAGTGTCTCGAGAGAAATATTTATCTGCAGCAATTTAGCATGCACTGGGAAAATATCTTTCAGACAAGAAAAATGGAAATCATTTTGAGGGATATATGTCAATGAGTTTCACATCTACTTGTATGTACTTTCCTTAACAAAAATCTTCTTCTGGTAAAAACGTCCATGCACTAAAGTTTTGGAGCAGCTGTTAAGCAGAAAACTTCAATCTTTTTAAATTTATGGCCAATTAACTCACCTGGATTTTTAGACCTAGCATGGCTTCCCACATAGTTTTTGTTTCATTGTTATAAATAGGTACATACTGAGAACATAAGAGAAAGAAAAAAGCATTCCCTTGGCTGATTCTTGTTTATGAAAAAAACAAAATATTGTAATTGTTAAACCCAGTAAATTTAAAAAAGCTACATGTACTTATATACTAACGAATAAGTGTAAATTCAACTCTTATTCCCTCATCATCTTAGTTCTACTGCTTTATGAAGGCTACTCTACAAGGTCAAAGAAGGTATCCAAGGCAAGATGATACAGCATGGGATTTTAGATTAGGTTTTTTCACCTCTAAACTAAATATGGATTGCTAAAAGTGAAAGGGCGAAAGAGTTTTCCTAACTTTTTGTAACATTATTGTGAATGTGTTTGAAAAGGAATATGTTCTGTCACATATTACCAATGCAAGTTCATTTAAGGCAAAGAATAGGGTGCTGGGAAGGAAATAACACTGTTTGTCATCCCCAGCATAGATTTTAGGATTCAGTTGTCTCAGAAAAGCCCTAGCAGGTATTACAGAGAGTCAAGAAATGAAGGCAGAAGCTGAAAGCATATGTTAAAACCAGTTAGGTTTCTTATTCATACCACTCTTAATTATAACTTCTAGTTATGGCTGTGACATTGCTTTAATCTTCAGAGAGTGATGTGATATTTGTTGACTTTACCTAACAGGCACGGTGTGCCCTATGACTTACTGTTGCTGGAAGCATCCCGCTTTCATGATATGCCTCCGTTTCCCCTTATCCTCATAGGTTGCTCATATTAGTATGGAGGTCTTCACCTTTAAACCCTAAACTCCTATTCTGGGGGAGGAACTAAGAATCCCCGTGTTTTCTTACTGACCAGGCTGCTGTATTCTTGAATGTACATGAATTTTTAATAAAAAGAATAAGACCTAGTTGTTTAACAGAGAATGCTGGCATTTCTAGGTGTTACAGGCTGGTTAAAAAAGCTGAGAATTCTTCCCTTATTACATACAACTAGATTCAAATGTAGGTATTAGCTGTTAATTTCCACAGGGTTTCAAAGTGACCACTGCTGCATTTCCACATAATCTATTTATTTTAGAGAAAAAGGAGATTGCATAGAATTGCACCTGCCTACCTACTAGACTTGCTCCAGTATATCAGTTTTTCTTGGTCTGAGGAAGCTAAACCGGAGGCAGTACTTCAGAGGTGACTTCAAATGCCTAATAGAGGGGAGGTGATAGCAAGGGTTAGCAGCCAGTCAGCAAGCAACAATGGCTATGCTCATGCTCACACATCCCAGGACACAGCTGGCTTGCATTGCTGCAAGGGTACACTTGGCTCATGCTCAGCTTGCTGTCAACCAGGACCTTGTCTGTGAAATTTCTTTCCATCCAGCTGCCTCTAGCCTGTTCTGTTGCATGAGATTAGTCTATCCCAGATGCAGGACCTTGCATTAGCTTTTGAGATTTCTTATCAGATTTGCCTCTTTATACATAAGCTTTGGTCTCCTGCTTATCAACTGCTACCTGCAGTTTGGTATCTGTAAACATGCTGATGTTGTGCTACATCCCATTGTCCAGGTCCTTAATAAAGATGTCTAAAATACTGGTGCCTGTATTAACCCCTGAGAGATGCCACTAAGGGCTGGCTGCTGGTGTGAGTTACTGGCTTTAGCCCTTGGAGCCTGGTAGGCCAGCTGATTTTCCATCTACCTATCAAAAACCTTATTTCAGCAATTTGGTTGTAAAGTTATCATGTGAAACTGTCTTTTCTCCTGTCGGGGCCAGGGCGGGGTCTGCCCACGGCCACACCCAGGGGCTTCGGGCTTTGAGCAACCTGGTCTAGTGGAAGGTATCCCTGCCCGTGGCAGAAGCATTACATGGGATGATCTTTAAGTCCCTTCCAACCCAAACCATGCTATGGTTCTATGGTATTACTTGTTCCACCCACTCTGCACCAAAGTACAATGCAGTGGATAATGTTCGCTTGGGGGAACAAGGGCTTAATGCTCTGGCTTTGTACTTGCCGAGATTGCAGCCTGGCTCTGTTCATCCATTCCTGCTGTCAGGTCTGTTGAAACTGAGGTTCGTCCTGCCTGTTGTCAGCCTGACAGGTCTGAATCTGGACTTTGGCAGTCTCTTCTGCTAGTAGAACCACTCTAAATGATTAGACCAGATAGCCTTGTGCTGCTCTAGAGCCTTCACTAGTTCTTCTAAATATTTAGGTGAACACTTAATTCCCTTGCTGCAGTCTTGTTTTACTCATTTATTTCTCTAGCAGCTTTGTCATAGAACACAGTGCCTTTACTGTCTCCTAAACTGCCACTTTACATACGCAGCAGCTCTCTTCTTGTGGCCAGAGCCACAGGGTCACATTCAGTTGCATCAGAGGCGTTTTCTAGTCCAACTTAAACCAGACACCATCATCTTTTGACCATGAAGCATTAAGTTTTTCTTTACTTTAAAGATGGTAATTAATAAAGTTAATTACAGGTTGTCATAGGCACGACGTGTAAACTCATATTTGACCAGATCATCCTCATCCACTGGTAATAGTTTAGGGACCTGAAATTCTTAGACTTTTGAAACTGGGATCATGTCTCTCCTCATGATTTTGCACAAGACTCTAATACCTTGTATCATCCTTATTGTAGTTCAGTGCTGTGGTAGGCACTCAAGAGGATTTGGAGAGGGAAATTGGGCTTTCAGTAATTTTTCCATAGATAATGAAGGTCTATTCAGCTCCTGGCAGCTGAAATAGAGGGGAAGGACTTGGAATTATTCTTAACACATTTTCCTTTTCCTGCAGAAACAAGGTCAAGAGAGATTATTAATTTATTAAATCATTCTTTACTGATCCTTGAAGTAGTCTCAAGTCATCACAATGGGAACTCAACTGTTTTCAGAGAACAGAGAAAGAGAAGGAGAGTAAGAAGAGAGAAGAACTTGCTAGGATTTTACCACAGTAATTTCACAAACACTGCTTTACAATTCATCTATTGTCCCCAAAATGACTCCCATGTATTCTGCAGTTTGTGCAGCAAGTAGGGCAAAAACATATTAATCACAATGGAATGAATTGCTTGCTCCTAGATTAAAAGAAATAGAAATTAGAGACTCTAAAAGACACTCAGGAACAAACTGACCTTCAGCAATACTGGAGATGGTATTAAAGTAATATATTACTTTTAATCAAATAAGATCCAAATGTTCCCATCAAACTCAAGTGCTTTTTTGTGTAAAGTACTGAGAAAATTCACACAAAGAAACAGGACATAGTCTCAGTGAAACACACAGCGTTTTGAGACACCAGATACAGTATTGTAAACCTAGTAATGCACATGCAACTCAAGAACTTCTGCAGTAAGCAAGAGACCATAAATGCAGCAGGCACTGTCTGTTGGAAAGAATCCATCCACGTTCTTGTGCTGTCTCATATGGGATTTGTAGTCATGCTAAACCTCAAGCCTCGCCAGTGATCTCCAAAATATGATGCTGCTGCCTACAGAGATCTACAGATACCATCGTTGCCGTTGCCATCTGGCATCAAGTTCTGAACATTTATATCTTTGGTTTTGGCTGCAACCACAGTATGATAAGCTCAAAAAATGAAGCTAACACTTTTACTGTGTTACAATTCCACTTTATGGAGTCTAAAAGAATAATAAATGCAAGATTTGTAATGAAATGGAGAATTAGCAAAACAAACATGAAAATAGAAAAGCTTTCCTCTGTACCTCAGTTTATGCATCAGTAGGCACAGATAACATTTGCTCAAATGGTTTTCTCATTGCTCTGGGATGCAATTAAATCTGTTTTAACTATCGTTGGCTAAATAATGCCTTATCCCAAGCTTGAGCTGACAGCACAGATTTCTTCTCTTCAATTTGAAACAAAACAGACTTGACTAGAGTCAAGTAGTAGATACATAGTATTGCATGGTTTTTTAGATGGCCTTTAATAATGTATTTTAATACGAATATTTTTATTTTCATTTTAGTTTTATTTAGAAATTCTAAAAAATCTTAAAAGCAAACAGTGAATAGATGCTAAAAAAATTCAGGTACAAATTATATGCTAGCACTAAAGTAATGCTAATTTACCACTCCTTAAGTGGTAAAATAGAGAAAGTCAGCAGTAAAAAAACCACAGCCCGTACAGAGAGAAAACAGCTGTTATATATCCATAAAATACTATGGGACAACTACCATCTTCTGGAACATGACACAAAGACACATCAACGCTAAACGAAATGCTTGTGTGAACCAACAAAGTTTAAGGTTTGAAATACAGAGTGAACTGAAATTCTTCAGCGATGATTCACTCCCCTACGGTGTCTTGTACGTATCATATTCCAGTTCTTTACCATTTACATATTTGACTCTCAGAAAGTAGGTTAACATAATTTTACGAGCACAGCAAAATTATACTCCCTTAATTTAAGTTGTGAGGAAGGCTGATGTAATCTCTTGTTACATTCTCTACTTCTGAGAATTTTCAGAGTGATTATGTGGAAGTAATGTAATTTTTTTCATTTGTATCAAACTGATTGACATGTCATGTTTCATGATTAGGACTTACTGAAGTACTGTTTTATGTTATACAAACATATAATTGAGTAGATCTATGTTTGTGTGATGCATCTCGTGGTAACTTGATTGAACATTTCAGGCTTTTTTCTGCTTTAGGAAGGACTCCAAGACAATTGGATTCACCACATAGCAGACTTCTCAGGGACAGGTTAGACTTTGGAATCACTGAAAATAAAAACTTAAAGATAAATAAACAATAGATTAAAAATAATTAAATAAATAAATAGGACTCTTGGTTCTCCTTGAGCGGTACAACACTCATTTTCCAAACAAACAGCAACTCTCACTCAACCCTAAGGTGTAGAACAGCCACCTACTAGATGAGACAGTTGAATGCATACATCTGATATTGCAGGAATATAACGTTTCTGTCTACCTTCTGAAATATTAACCCGTGGCATAAATAACTATGGGATGATTTCATTTGTTTTACCAGTGTTTCCCTAGTCTCTCTTTACTTTATGTTGAATGTCTCCCAGCCCAAAATTACAATTGATTCCTGGGCTGTTTTTCTGCAGGAAAACACAAGCAAACGTTACCTGTTCAAAAACTCTGCCCACTGGGGATGTGAGACAGGAGAAAAACTGCAGCCATCTGCCCACATCCCAGCAAGACATATGAGATCTCAGGTGGTCTTTGGGACAGGGCTACCAAATACACGTCATACAAGTTTTATAACACTTGGTACCCTGCCTTGGGTTTATCTTTGCTGTTAATACCAACCATCAGTCTTGTTCCTCCTGAGGCTGACTGCTCCTATAAGAAACTGCTTTGCCTCTACCCACTCATTGCCTCTTATTCATAAAAGACTATTTTATACTCTTGGTGCAGCTAAGAGTATAAAATAGCTATTGGCTATTGAGCTATTGGCTCAGCAGAAATAACCCCATGTCTTGAAGAAGTCCCCCATGCTCAGGTGAGACACCAGAGGAAAGATTCTATAGAGTCTTCGGGTAATCTGGACCTGAGTTTATGCTAACTGACCTGTGAAATACATCACTGTCTAAAAACAATTAAAAAAACAAACCAAAACCAAACCAAACCAAAAACCAAAAAAAAACAAACAAAAAAACCCAACAAACAAGAAAATCTGGGGTAAGACCTGTGCAACATTAACTGTTATTAACATTCCATTCTGCTAAAAATCCCCACAGGTTTCTTCCTTTTGTCATGCTGACTAAAATGAGATACAACCACTCAGTTCTGAGTGAGGGAGTTTATTACTTACCTGAGTTTCTATAATGTGAAACTCATTTTTGTTATATCCTGGGGTTACACTACACTTGATGAGAAGAGTTTAAATGTTTATTACCATGAAAATCCAGAAGAAGCAGAATCTGTGTTCCATCTTTTGGCACCTCATTGAGTATTAATTTTGTATAATATTATAATGCTGAATTTAGATTACTTGCTTCAGAGTAACTGTGCTGAATTGGGATATTTTAACATCAGTACTTTGACAAAAGAGAAATGTTTTCATCAGTTTTTATCCTAAGCACTGATTTTACTGGTAGCGAACAGTATTTTGAAGAGCATGCATTCCATAAAGCTATGGAGACAATCTGTCATATGTCAGTAAGTGTTATCCAAGTTATGTTGTGTCCCCGAGAAACAAAAAATACAACTTAAATAAACATGACAGTGTAAATTAGTTATTGGCTTGTTACTCTTGAGTCTTATGCAAAACTGTTCTCTACATTCTAATAAAGAATTAGTATTCCAGTATTGATATTTTGAACAGTTACTACTCTGTTGGCACCAATGCTGTTTACAGGGAGGAAGGGGATTTGTTGCTTTAGGCTGTCTCAAGACCTTCTCTTGCCTTTGCAAAACAAAGTTATTTCTCACTGTGCTCCTGTTTCTGAGTGGAAGATGTACAGTCTACTAGATGATTTCAACATGATCTTCAAGCTGTTTGTAGGAGTACAGTGCATAGCACAAGTATGCATAAAAATATGCCAGCTCCTAGAAAGTCTTCTATGTTCTAAAACTGATGAGATGCACATTTAATGCACTATTATAGAAATGTGTGTGGTGTCCTTCTTATTCACTTTTGTATAACTGGAAAAAGACACTGGAACTGGCAGGCTGATAATTAAAATTTACTTAATAGCTAAAAGTAGCCAGAAGCAGCAAACTCTTAGGGATGCCACCCTTTGGTTGTCTGTTGCCCCACAAAAACACTTGTACTTGACAGGAATGGTCCAACTGATGGATCCTGTGCTGCTCTCACCAGACATTTCCCAACAGGGACCCTTATTATCGCTAGAGGTCCTAGTGCAGCCAAGATGGGTCATGCTCAGGGAAGACTGCAAGGTCTTCACCCACCAAATATTGAAGGAATTATTCTGCAAACAAATTCTATGCTTGGTTCACTTGATTAAAGAAAACACATCTGGTGATCCCATTGATTGCTGCTCAGGGACAGGCTGAGCATTGGGCAGAAGGTGATGAGCAATTGTATCATGCATCAGTTATTTCTCTTGGGTTTTATGTCTCTCTTCCTCTCCTCTTTATTACTATAATTATCATTATTGTTATTACTATTATTATATTTTAATTTGTTTCCATTATTAAACTGCTTGTCTTACTTTTTCTATTTTCCCTGAGTCTCCTTCCCATCCCACCAGAACAGGGCAGGGAGGGGAATGAGTGAGCAGCTATGTGGTACTCAGGTGCTAGCTGGGGTTAATCCACAATAGGTTTCAAATCCAAAGGATATTTGGAACTACCAGGAAGCACTGGTTCTAACATGAGAGTAGGTGTTCAAGTTGCTTGATGACTTGTAGCGTCCCTTCGATTTTCTACAGAAAAAATCTATTGTGTTTCACTTGCCAACAAGGACCATAAAAGTGAACAACATATAATTTCTGTAGTTGCAGAAGACTTTACTAAATGTATAAATATTACTTTCACATTCTGGAAAGTTTCAGTATAATTTATTATCACTAGAGTTGAGAAATGCAAATTGAATCATGTCAGAAAGACTCTTTTGGCTTACAGGGGAATTCATCCTGGGCATGAACCCATAAGGTCCCCCAGAATATGTGCTGGGTTAAAAGAGCTTTATGGAATACGCACATGTAGGGTCCTGGGGGATTCCAGTACTCTTATTGTATCCCCTGACTAGCAAAAGCCTAGGCTAGAGGCTGGAGATAAATTGAAATTTGCGTAAGGTGGCAAATTTCCAGTTTTAATATTGTCATAACTGAATGAAATTGTAATTATGAGCATTTTAGAGTGATCATCAAGAGAAATCTGACGATCTTTTTTCTGACAGTACATTCATATGTGGCATAAAACAAAAATGACATCTATTACTGTCCTCAAAATCAAGCTAAGCCACATTGAATTTAATACAATTGCAAATACAACTAAAAGTGTAAGTCCGGTTACTATTAAATGATGAGGTGTTTCATGCTCTGATTCAATAAGGTGTTTGATTCTAACTAAAAGTGGTTGCCTTGTTCTGTTGCATACCAACAGATTCAAACTAAACGTAGCTTAAAAGTTATCCTGAAATTAAGTCACTTAGCTGTATTTATGTTCTTGAATATGTAGCCACATTTGCAAATAGTAGAAAATTGCTCTGAAGATATGGAAGTTGTGTTACATCACTCTATCTGCTAATTTTAAAATACTTACTTAGAAGAATTATGCAATATCTGATTCAAAAAAATCCTCTTGTGGTCATATGCAGTATTTCTCCATTAAAAATATGTATGTTCATATTACCTTTTATATGTGCATGCACCACATCTTTCTTTTCATTGATGAAGTTTGACAATTTGTGACAGGACAGGACAGAAAAGGAATTCATTATATTTAGCAACAGAAAACTCAATTCTCATTTTTCTAGGGTTGAGTGGACTATGAAATTGGCTAAACCACCATATCACAATTCTTCACCATTATGGTTCTTCAGATCACCCTCAAGGATCTTCAATTTCATTATGTTCAGAGCTTGGGACCTGGTAATTTTCAGAATCAGGAAATAGAAGGAAGTGATATATTTTTATATTTTTTATATATTTTTATTCAGAGAAGGATTTTTCTTTATTTAGGAATAAAAACTATGTCAGGTTGAAAATGTTAAAAATTAGAAGCTTGGTTAATAATCACAGCAACGTCAATGACATTTTTTTTATCAGATTTTGGAACGAAAATTTTATGCGTGACAAAGAAATCTCCTTCATCCCTGAGAGAAATTGTCCCTGTGCAGGGAAATTTAAACTTTTAGTCCAACAATCAATGGAGTTTAAGAAAAAGTCATGGTAATAAGGCTGAAAGGCATCCAGAATTATTTTTCCATAAAAAGTTACTCAGTATTCTTGCTCCTGCCAACTTTCATGGGTTATGTTGGCTAAAATAAAAGAAGATTAAGTAATTTTCTATATATATAAAATAGTCATATGCTTTATATACCGGTATTAGTGATTGAGAAAATGCTACAATAAACAATAGTACAGAATTCAATCTATTTCCCTAAGAATTACTTCAGTATCTCACTTTGGGTTCTGTAATGAGGCAAAAGGAGGGTTTCCTTTTTATCTAGCTTCATTGTCACTGAAATTATTTTCTAATTCCTCATGAGTGTACGACCTGAATTAAAGTACAACATCTTTTTTCTGTTCCAGTTAAAAGTTTGGTCTTACTGGAAACAGAAGGTTTCTGAATAAAAGGACAAAAAAATGAAAGCAGTAAAACATTAGATAAAGAGCATGTTGAAAATCTATCTACTTCATATTTATTCTCTTTACTATCCAAACCCTCCAAAGTTCACCATTTCCACATGTTCTCAGACTATCTTGTCTTATTGTCATGGTAAGTGCAATAGGCAAAGCAAACAACTTTAGCTGTTAATATTGTCATGGTGCCAGAAGCGTATAATTTCTGTGCTCTGCTATGTTCTTTCCTGAGCAGCCTCACCAGCTCAACACTGCTGGGACTTGCCTTCCCAGCCAGGACTCTGTTCCTGGCTTTGGATCAGCACTTTCAGAGCCCCAGAGCTCCTGCAAGGGGGGGCAGGAGGGGATCACTACTGCTCCTTCCACCTCCCAAATAGTTTGTTTCAGTGGGGAGGGCAGTGGCTTTACGGAGGAGGTTATACAAGTTAGGATTACTTCAGTAATGAGAAAGACAGTGAGA